GCTTGCTGTTTGCTGCTTGCTGCTTGCTGCTTGCTGCTTGCTTGCTTGCCGCTTGATTGCTTGATTTCTTGTTTGCTTGTTTGCTTGTTTGCTTGCTGCTTGCTTGCTGCTGCGGTTCGCTGTTTTTTTTTTTTGCTGCTTGCTGCTTCCTCACTAGCTGCTGCTCTTTGGTGCTTGCTATTTGTTGTTGCTGTTTGTTGTTTGCTGCTTGCTGCTGCTACTTGCTTGCCATTGCTGGGTTACATGCACCTAGTAATATCATGGCACTGTATTGAATGTGCCACGGACTCCAACTGACCTCTCTCACCGGAGATTGAATCTTCGACAGCCTACGAATCCCTCAGCACAGGTACCACATTCCCATCCCTATAGGTCGACACACCATTATTCCAACATCACGACACATACAGAAACACGCCATTGGTCAGGAAAGTTCAGTTTGATCCGGGATACCCAGACGTCGATATGAAACCGGCCCGGATGTAGCCGGACGTGGCCAAACGTGCGCGGGCAATGCCCAGATGATGTCCGAGCTCGGGTGTAAAAACTAGTAGTACTCATACTTTAGACATAGACATAGCAGCACATCCGAAGCACTGGTACTTACTACGCCATCGCAGGACCACCTTCAAAGTACTGTGTGTACTCAGACATCGCAGCACGCCCAAGCACTGCTGGTTGGTACTAGGCCATCACAGCACGACCAAATTAGTCGTACTCAGCCATTGTAGCACGTCCGAAGTACCGATACTCAGCAATGATCGCAGCACGTCCAAAGTACTGATACTCAGCCATGCGGGACATCGAAGGTACTGGAACTTAAGACAGTACGGCACATAGAAAGTACTGGTTGGTACTCAGAGTCATTGCGATGCGATACGGACTTCGTACCCTTCGAAAATAAATTATATTATGCCGGAAAGTCTGGCGAGAGCGAGCAGACTACAGCGATCTATCTATCGCTGTAGTCCTCCAGAGGCCTGTTCCAAGTACTGGTACTCCGACATCCAGCACATCCAAAGTACGGGTACTCTCTACAGGTACTACTGAGATATCGCCCGCACATCCGAAATACTGCTACTCTGTACTGGTACTCAGACATAGCGGCACATCCAAAGTGTTGGTACTCAGACGTCGAAGTACATTCCAAGTATCAGTTGGCAGTCGGCCATCGC